TTCGTGAGAGCATCTTAAGCCATCGTATGACCGCCGGTGGAGTTTCTCAGGCTCCGGCAGCAACTTCGGGAGCGGTGGCAACCAAAGATGGCTTAAGATGCCCTCACGAATGGCCCGATGTTGCTTCGATCAGAGCCGAATTTGAACATTTCCTTTATCGTGTGTCCATCTGGTTGTTTTATTGCACAACAAAATCATGTAAACATATCATGTAAATAACCCAATTTGTGTTCTGTGAAACTAAAAAGGATATAATATATTATTTTGAAGGCGAGGAAGTTGTTGTTGCTATGGAAACAACATGACGGAGAAAACGTAATATCTTCTACATATAAAGACGGAGAAAGTAAAGAACAAAGTCGGAAAATATCAATACAGTATCATAATACTTTAACATAATTGTTTGTGTTACTTTCGTTGTAGTTGTATGTCTTAAATGTAATGTAAATGTTGCCTTCGTGTGTGGTTCGGAGCCATCTTCGTGCAAAATTCACAATTCCATATTCGTGTGTCCATAGGGTGTCAATTTCGGGACAGTGTGACAGGGGCTTTAGGGTTCAGAGATGAAGCTGAGGTTCACAATGCGCTTATGTAATGCAATAATATTCTCAAGTCAGAAACTGAAGCCAGTTCTCTTGCTGTGATGTAGTGTCAGGGCTGCATTTAGATTTATTTTCTTCTTCTGGCACGAGGCAGCTAGTTGTTCCAAAGTGCAGGACTAAACCCTTTGGTGAGTCAGCGTTTAGCTCCAATGCTGCAACAAGCTTCCTGAGGATCTGAGGGCTGCAAGAAGCTTTGAATGTAAACGTAATACTTGCCTGTTAAGAGTTGTGGAATGTAACTTAGTACATTTACTTTAATACTATATTTAAGGAAACAGTTGATGTACTTCTACTTGACTCGAGTACATTGACATTATGCTGCCTTATACTTTAGCACGACTAAAGCTACATTTTGGAGGAACTTTTTGGACATCTTATTATAGCTTTACTTACAGATGTAGATGATTAATACTTAATCTAAATCAACTAATTCATTATGTTTAATTATTAAATATCTACAACTTATTCTGAAATGGGACCTATTGCATAATGAGTACTTTTAATTTTGGTACCTTCTTCGCTAATACTTTTATACTTTAAATTGAGTAAGATTGTGAATTCACAACTGGTAACAGAGTATTTTTACACTGTAGTATTGCTACATTTACTAAAGTGAATATCTGAGTACTTCTTAATTTTCTGCCTATTAGGGCTGCTGTGTTTGGAAAAATGAATGTGAATAAAGATGTTTTATTAAGTCAGCAATATAGTATGTGTATGTGCGAACATCTTTGCAGCAGCATAATCCTTAATTCAATATCATATTAAACACATGTCACAGAAATTCCATTTTAAAACAAAAAGTGAATTCATAATGTAATGTAGTTTTTATCTTGTGCTGTTTTACAACTGCAAATGTTATTCAACCTTTTTATATAAATGCTCTCATAATTGTTAGTGTCTGCTGTGCTTTGATCGAGTTTGTCAAATTGTTGTTTTGGTACATTTTTGTGGTGTTCACAGTTTCACAGTGTTCTTGTTGTTTTGTTGCTTGTCAGTCTTTTGTAAAGCACTTTTAACTGAACTAACCTGAATGAAATATGCTATACAAACAATTTATTTATTTATTATAATTCTAAATGCATAACTGAATAGGTATTGGATGTACAGTAGTTTATAATTAATGTTGAAGCAAAAAAGAATGAAATTATTCACTATCAGATGTTCATCTGCATCAGATATAATGTACTTCCCTTTGATTTGCCTACTATTCAGATTTCCACTCGCTTCATTGAGAATGCAAACCTCCGCTCAGCTCAGCAATTATGTTTTCTGAACTCTCAAAGTATTGTCTCTCAAGTCTCAATGTTCTCTGTGCGGCAGGACATCGTGATGACACTGAAGGAAAAGCTTTCTCTAAGCCGCATTGAACACTTCTCCCTGGTGCTGGAGCAGCAGCACAGCATCACCAAACTACTGCTGCTGCATGATGAGGAAAGGATACAGCAGGTATAAACACACACACACACACACACACACACACACACACACACACACACACACACACACACACACACACACACACACACACACACACACACACATACACCAATAACCACTGTTTTACAAGTCTCCGTATATGTACATCTAAATCTAATCAGCTGTTGGGCCTACTGGGGACGTGCACAGGCCCAGGGGCCCAAACATGGGAGGCCCTAGAGAATGTGTTGTAGCTAACCATATGATAGCTATATCATTCCCAGGATATTTCTGTGATTTATTCATAATACTCACATTTATTTACACCATTTTGTATCCAATATTTTTGATATAATCATCAGTGTCACAGCACAAGCACCCACTCTCAATCTTTTGGGCTTATAATATCCAGATGCTTAAGTATTCAGATCTCCAAAATGATTAAACCCCTCGAAAGCATAAAGAACATTTAACAGTATACACTTTGTTTTGTACAGATTAATATTGGTTTTACTGGCTTCTACTTTCCTACCCAAGACTGTATCAGCATTTTTGTGAATAACACTGTAAACTATCTACTTTTACAATTGAATAATGTAAATACTGGCTGCTAGTTCTCAACTTGTTCACTAAATGTAAAATGCTGTTACTTATATGTATACCTTGGATGCGTACTTACTTTATGTTTATTTTAGTAACATGTGCTTCTTTATTTGTTACGTTAGTTTACTATTTGCCTTTCATTTGCACTACCCTCTTTGCTGTAATCACTAAAACGCCCTGCCGTGGGAGAAATAAAGGATTCTGATTTGTGATATGTGGGGCAGAATACTGTTGATATATAGTCTACTGAATGTGTGACCGCTGCATGTGTTCACATGTGTGAGCATGTGTGTTTTAGGGGAGTTGTTGTAAAAAGAGAAATTGAGGCGACAGGGACATTTATGGGAATACCTACATTTTAGAGCACTGAACAGTTGAGTAACCCCCATGGCACCTTCAAAAGAAAGTATCTGGATCCAAAGTGACAGTGGCTTCCCTGGCCTTCATCTACAACATTTCACTCAGAGACACATAACAGCCAAGACTACAAACAACAGCAACAAGATACAAAGAGACTCACCCACTATGGAAATGTGCAATAATACCACAAATAAACACAAATCTAAAAAAAGGGTCAACACAACTACAGACAAAAAAACTACAAAAGACCAAAACAGTTATAAAGACAAACAAAGAGCACAAAGAGACCTATTGTCTCATCAGTAAGTCGGTTTAATATGCGACAGTACTTAAGCTTTCACCTGCATTTAGAGAAATACATTTGAAGCATTGTGTGTATGTGTGTGTGTGTGTGTCATGTTCAGGTGGTCCAGAAGAAAGAGGCCCATGACTACAGATGTCTGTTCCGTGTTTGTTTCTTGCCGAAAAGCCTCCACGCGCTGCTGCAGGAAGATCCCGCTGCCTTTGAGTACCTCTACCTGCAGGTACCTCAACTTCTGACCGACTTAAAAACCCCAGGCTGCAGCTGTTAACTCCTTACATCGTGCATCTGTGAAGAATGTGTAGATACTTCATTATACCCTCGTTAACTAGCAAAGGCCACGCCTCAACAATATGTTGGTTAAAGATGTATTTACGGGGCAGTTTGAATTCAAGGTTAAGAAGGGTGAAGAAGGGTGAGGGATTTCGTCTGGCAGGCTGGTCTGGAGGATGACATGAAGTCCAGATGGAGGGAGACTCAGGGTGTGGGTTCAGTGTCAGGAGGGTTTCTGTCAGATCTGAATACAAACGTAGGGTTATGGGTAAACATGTTGAAGAGTGGGTTGTAAAATCCGAGACAAACAAGGCCAGATGTAAGGATATAAGTAGCTCAGCAGGTGTTTAGGGTGTAGTTGAGGCGTGGCCCTGCTCCCGGACCTAAGTTGACTCATGAAATGAAAACTGAGTCCCCCACCTAACTTACCCCACGGTTCGGCTGTACACCTCCGAACAGTCTGGTTTCTGCTGGAGCTGACACACCTCCTCACCATAATGTAAATCAGCAGACTGAAAGGTCATATTTAAAATGTGCAGTTTTTTTTATCCAGACTCACGACCTTTATTCCTGCTTTGTTCCCACAGTAAGGTCTTTTTATACTAAGTTACATCCCCTCAGTGATGGATATTTTTGCTGCCAATAACACAAACCAGTGAGATTTTTTCTTAAATTAGATGTCTGTTGTTCTCATCTTTTGTACCGTTGTGAACTGTTGTGAACTGTTTTGTGTGTCAGGGTGTGAACGATGTGCTGCAGGAGCGCTTTGCAATAGAGATGCGGTGCAACACGGCCCTGCGACTCGCCGCTCTGCACATCCAGGAGAGGCTGGCGAGCTGTGGACACTCACAGAAGACCAACTTGAAGATGATCACGTGAGACAAACACACATTTTAACTATACTTATGTCGACTATAAAACTATAATAAAACAGGATTGTACTGCTTGTAGGGACTGTAGAGCAAAGTGTGGTTCCATGCCTTTTAGAGGGACAATAATAAATATTTATTGGATATGTTTTATTGAGCAGCGCCCCGTCTAACAGTCAAACACTAACACAAGTTGTATAATACAACTGCAGTCTTGTAGCACACTTTGAGCTTCAGAAATACATTTCAAGATTTCAAATGTATGCTTTCCAAGGGTTTCCATCCACACATCCTAGCTCTCTCACAGTCTTGAACACGACAACAGACCTCATTGTGTTTGTCTATGTTTGCTCTAGGAAGACGTGGGGCATAGAGAACTTTGTGTCATCCACACTGTTGAGAAACATGCGAGAGAAAGACCTGAAGAAAGCCATCACTTACCATATGAAGAAGAGCCAGTCACAGAACGACCCCAAGCAGAAGGGCCTGTCAGTGGATCAGACTCGCATCAACTACCTGGAGGAGCTGTGTGAGCTCAAGTCATTCGGAGGGAAATCCTTCAGTGCCACCATGATGGTAGGTTTTCAACATTTGACTCATGGTGTCAATCCATAAAAAAATTCAAGTCATTTAGTATTTTGGAAGGAGATAAAACAAACGTGTGGTGTTGGAAATGCATGACAAGCAGCAAAGAGAAATCAGTGGGTTTTATACTTTATTAAAGTCTGACAATATTCTGACAGTTAGCTAAAGCATCGACAAAGCAGCTGACTCAGAGAGGCGCTTTGATTGCCTTCCGTGTAATGTGAGCTACACAAGGTATATTATCTCTGCTGCAATCATAATGTGAGCACTATCATTAATTTATTAGATGTGCCGTTACTTACTGATGTCCAGTGTCTCCAGTCAGCACAATACATGAAGTTTGTCATTTCTCCGCTGACTTTGTGTTCTCACTGCCCTGCAAGTCTTGGTAAACATCCACGCTGCAATTACATGAGGGCATTGGGGTCAAACTTAGTAATATGATTATATATGTCATTATTTTTCTTATGCGTTAAGATTTGCAAATTAATCGCAACTGTTAACGTCTTAACACTGACAGCCCTATTTTTTATTTATTTTAGGTTGAAATGTGTTTTTTTAAACCAATCTCATCTACAATTGTCCTCCTTCTTTCCGTTCAACCACCCTTCCCCTGCTCCCCCCACACTCCAGCTTCAGGACAGGGAGTCAATGGTGACCTTGTTGGTGGGGGCGCGCTACGGGGTGAGTCAGGTGGTCAACCACAAACTGAGCATTCTGTCCACCCTCACAGAGTTCACCTGCATCACACGCATCGAGCTGCTGCCTGAATCCGACAAGGTCAGCCTGGTCAAAATATACCTGCAGGACATCAAGGTAAGAGCACATTACATTTCCTTTTGTTTGTGATTTAAATCATGATAAGTTCTTTCTTTTTCATCTGTGAATACAGCTCAATATTTCTTGGGTGGGTGAGTCTTGTCATGTCAGGATCATAGTATGTTGTTGTGATACTCGTTTTGGACACAAGGGCTGAAGTGCCTGTCTTCTTTTAATTAAGATTAAAAGCATTTCTATTTTCTTCCAAGTGAGTTGAAATACCTCCATGCGCTCTAATATCCTTGCAAAATCTTTTGTTCACAGGTTCCTTAGTCATAAACAGAATCAGACTTAGAAAATAGATCACCAGATGTTTGTATTGTCACTTGCATATTGGGGTTTCCATGTAAAGTACTGTAAACCTTGTCAAAAAGCACTTTAGCTTGAAAGAATCTGAATCAGCTTAACAAGCACTGCAGCAAAGTTGGGTTATCTTAGGTTGCATAATAATTAGCATTATTTGTTCAGCCTATGTTTAAGCAGTTTGATGCACCTGCAGTTTGATATCTAGAATTAAACTTTCTCTTGAATGGCTTATAGAAACAGTGAATGAGCTTTCAACTGTTATTGTGTTTATGACTGTGTTGTATTAGTTACAAATATGACCTGTTCACATTATTTTCCATTCTACCTCATGTCAATTATTTGCAGACTTCAGCATGAGAAGGAGTGCCTTTTCATCAATATTTGGACCCTTTTGGATACAAATAGAACGCTAAGTGTTTTTCCACTGCTGAAATTGTCTTCCCTTCCCCCTCTTCCCATCTCATATCATCTCTTCTGCTTTCTCATTCAAAGCCCATCACATTGCTATTGGAGTCAGCGGCCGCCAAAGATATGTCCTGCCTAATAGCAGGGTACTGTCAAGTGTTTGTTGACCCCAACCTGAACATCTTCCCCTGGATACATGTGTCCAAGAAGCACCGAGTGTCTGCTGAGGAAGGTACACATTTACAGTAAAAGTCAGCCATAAAATGAATGAATCAGTATGTTTAAAAAAAATGAACTAGCAGGGCTCTCAAAGAACAAAGGCCTCTGCCAAGGCTGTTTCTATAAGTGAAAAACAGTGAGTTGCTATCCGCCCATTGATTCGAATTCATTCCAAATTTGTATGAGTTCTTTGTTGGCCCATGCTTCACCCTTCCACCAAGTTTCATTCATCTGGTGTGTAGTTTTTTTTGTAATCGTGCTCACAAACAGATAAAGCAACCAGGATATAATAATAACCGTTGCATGTTTTAATGTCGGTGTATGTACACAGGTTACGTGTCACGGTGTGGCAGTGACTCGGACACCTCCTCAGACTTGGGCATGGACGCGCTGATCACCAAGGCGTCACATGACGACAGGCCGCGCCCTCGCATCAGATCCTCATCAGACCCAGACGGGAGAAAAAGAAAAGACAGAAACAGAAGGAGAAACAAAGACAGCAAAGAAAAGGGGGATAAAACATGGGAGGAGAATAAAAAGCAAAAGGAAGAAAAGGATGCTGACACGGAAAAGGAAAAGTCTCCCTTGAGTAAAAACAGAGAGAGTAAGAATGAAGAGACACAGAACAAAGAGGAGACGGAAAAGCTGCAGGAGGGTCAGCAAACAAAGATCGAGATAAGGGAACATTATTCTGGGGAACTACGGGAGAACGTGGGACAAGAAAGTCGATGTGACGAAGACGTTCATGCAGCAGAAGAGCATCCTTCGGTATCAGAAGCATCTGATTCTCTGAACACAGACTCTCGTGTCATCACCAGCCCCTCCAGCGACTCCCTCGACGCTTTGGAGGAAGACGACCTAGTTTCATGTTCTTCCTCGTTCACGGTCCTCCCCAACGCTCCATCACAAACACTCAATAGCCACTCTCCCCTTCAGCTCCACCATTACTCCCACAATCAGGTTCATCCTCATCTCCTCGCCCCTCCACCAGCTCACGCCCATCCCCTCATCCACCTCACAGCTGACGACAGACGACAAGGAGGAGGCCTCAGGAGGTCCAACGACCGAGCCGATCCCCAACTCCTCTCCTCCGTCCCCCCCTCTTCGAGCCTTCACTGCATCCAAAAATGTCCCAGCAACCCCTGCTCCGACGACAGCTCCCTGTGTTTCGCCGAGCTCTCCCTTCTGGTGGACTTCCTGCCGAGCCCTCCAGAGGCCAGCGACGACGATGAAGAAGCGGAAGAGGAGTTAAGGAGGAGGAAGAGGAGGAAGGGGAAGATGTTGAAAGAAACAGGAGAGTGTGTGAGAGGTGAAAGTGGAAGCATAAGCGTGGAGGGCAGTCTCAGAGAACACCCACTAACCCCCTCCCCATCCTCCTCCAACCTGGAGTTTGTCTTCAACTTCGACCAAAGTGACGCTCGCTGCTACTACAAACTCTGCTCTAACATCACCCCCGACAGCGCCCGCAGCCTTCCCTGCCCCCCGGATCATAACGAGGGAGGAGATTGGGTGAAGGTGAAGGCAGATCCGGCTGAGGCGGTTTACCTGGAGCCCATCCCCATTCTTCAGCCACCACCGGGGTTTGGAGACAGCAGCTCTGACGAGGAGTTCTTCGACGCCAGAGATCGCTTCACCTCGCCTGTGGACCCAGCCTTAGACGCCATCCCAAGAGGTGATTTACTTTTTATTATAGGGCTTCTAAGGCTCTGTGCTGGAAACAAAGGATGTGAATGCTGCCTTTACTGCCATCTGGTGGTTGAAGTACTACTGAAGTTTTACTGCACTATAGTGACTGTATTATAGAGTAATAATGTAAGTTAATTCCCTGGAAAGCAGGAACACCTACTCTACCAGTGACTTGGAAATGGTCTACTGTCTATAGTGTAAAGACAGTGGTTGGAAGTGACATTTACTCAAGAACATGAAGTACTAAAACTAGATTGTTTGGTACTTTGACTTGACTATTTACATTATCTGCTACTTTCTACTTTTACTCCAATACATTTTAGAGAGAAATACTTACTACTCAACTGCAATTATCTGACATCTTTAATATCATGTTATTTTATAGGTAAAGATTTCACAAACAATATTTAAAATTTTTTTAATCTTAATATTTAATTTAGATTAAACTATCCAACTGTACAAGGGCTACACCTCACATTAAAATGCTGCATATTAGATTTAGCCTCATTAATTATATTTTAATAATATCATATATAATAATATAAACACTTGCTATATATATATATATATATATTTATTATATTGCAAAATACTTTTGTAATTTAAGTAAGAATTTGAATGCTTTCGTATTACTAGAGCAGAGTATTTGTCCCCTTTGGTATTGCTACTTTCACTAGATACTAGATTTGGAGTAAGTGTTTTTTTATACCACTCCATTTATTTGACAGATTCAAATAAACATTGAAATTGTGCAATTGGCAGATAAGCAGCTAAGAAACTTCAGAATAATATATTAATACTAAACAAAATCACAAAATCCCATCAAAAAATAAATTACTTTTAATCTGGCTTCGGTCCTAAAGTCAGAATCTGGGATTGTTATACAAATGGGACTGTAGAGTCACCCTGACTCTTAGGATGAGTTACAATGCAAGTTAAAGATTAATCCAAAGATTTTTCTCTCGCTTGTGACCCTTAAAAAAGCTGTGTCATGATATAACGTACCTCTGAATTGTATGCAGTTTCACCACAGAGAGATTAACCCTCTAAACGTTGCAGGTGTTTTTATTGAAATAATTGTTCAGGGCCCACAGAGGTGGATTTATATTTCTCAAAAAAAGGCTTCAAAGTGCAAAATATATTACAAAGTTGTGCGACTACCCACACATTACCTTAGGGCGGCTCATGTGGCAAAGTCTCTAAATCAGTCGATTCTGCCTTTAAAGCTTAATAGCTAGAGTGATTTTTATAATCTCCTCTTTTCTCTGGATCTTGGCAGTAAATCAGACAGAAGCTGTAAAAGTGAGGGAGACAAAACAAATGGAAAAGTTGTGTCTCCCAACCCCAGCGCAAACGATATCCTTTTCAAAGATTCATTACACTCTCAATGCTAATATTGCAATATCATTTTGTAAAAAAACTATTTGCACACTATTGCAAATGTGTGTTTATGTTTACAAATGAATTACAATCCAATAATGTGTATAGCGATGATAATTTCAACCGTCCCTAAATTTATGTGACCCTTGTAATTCCATATTATCTTTTACTTTTTTATCGTCACCTAAAATGGATATTTACGTAAACACACAAGGTAATACATTTTGGCATTAGTCATTTTATTTATGTTTTATGAGCTCCCTAGAGTTTATGTTAGCAAGTTAAACCTGCTCTTTGTTGTTCACAATTAATTTGCTAAGTGATTATAATATATAATTTGCTAAGTGATTATAATATAGTGAAGGAGTTCAAGTATCTCGGGGTCTTGTTCTCGAGTGAGGGAACAATGGAGCGTGAGATGGGTCGGAGAATCGGAGCAGCGGGAGCGGTACTGCAGTCTCTTTACCGCACCGTTGTGACGAAAAGGGAGCTGAGCCAGAAGGCAAAGCTCTCTGTCTACCGCGCCATTTTCGTTCCTACCCTCACCTATGGTCATGAAGGATGGGTCATGACCGAAAGAACGAGATCGCGGGTACAAGCGGCCGAGATGGGTTTTCTCCGCAGGGTGGCTGGTGTCTCCCTTAGGGATAAGGTGAGAAGTTCGGTCATCAGGGAGGGACTCGGAGTTGAGCCGCTCCTCCTTCGCGTCGAAAGGAGCCAGTTGAGGTGGTTCGGGCACCTAGTTAGGATGCCACCTGGGCGCCTCCCTAGGGAGGTGTTCCAGGCACGTCCAGCTGGGAAGAGACCAAGGGGTAGACCTAGAACCAGATGGAGGGATTATATCTCTTCGCTGGCCTGGGAGCGCCTTGGGATCCCCCAGTCAGAGCTGGTTGATGTGGCCAGGGAAAAGAAAGTTTGGGGCTCTCTGCTGGAACTGCTACCTCCGCGACCCGACCACGGATAAGCGGGAGAAGATGGATGGATGGATGGATTATAATATATAATCTGACTTTTCTGTCCAAAACACAGTTGATATTTGTTATCAAGTTATTTTGAATGAAAATATAGTATGTCTTTTTCTTGTTTCTATGTATTGTACACAGACCACATGAGGAATTAGTTTGTGTTGAAAACATAAAAAGCTAACTTTTATATACACTCTGTCATATTTATGCTCTATTTGGCTGAGCATTTTGTTACTATCTTGCAGATATTCGTTCAGACATGAAACTGGACTTCCACAGCGCACTCAGCCTGAGTGACATCAGTGTCTCTGTGGCAGACGAAGACAGAGCAGAAGAAGAAAAAGAAGAAGAAGAAGATAAAAAAGACGTAGAGGAGGAAGGAGGAGGCATAGAAACATTGTTCCAGCTCAGAAAAAGATCTCGGAAGCGACGTTCCTTCATGGAAACTGATTTCACCTCTACGGTGTCATTTCCGGAGCCAGATCCAGAAAAGTCAGACCAGGTTTTCAACAGGCTTCGTAACAACATGTTGGCAGATTCCAGTGATGCAGAGATGCTGAGTTTAGATCCTGAACCTTCAGAACAAACGCAGAACCCCTGTCCTACTGTCTCCTCTTTGAATCACTCCGAAGGGGAACCGGCTCAGCTCGAGTCCAAACCCATCCTGTCCAAACCCCGCTTGCATGGATGTAGCTCTCCTTGTGGTTTGGGGTCTCATGATCAGAGTAGAGACCCCTCGAGAAGCAGGAAACAGGAAATGGAGATGGAACCCGATGCAATGGAATCAAAATCGGTCACAGATTTGGTGAAGGCAGCGTCTCCTACGATAACTATTGTCCGCTGCCGGATGGATCCAGACGAGAAGGAGGAAAGGAAAGAAAAGGTGGAGATGGATAAGGGGAAAGACGAGGAAGAGGAAACATCAGGTGTGTCAGGGAATGGGCCGTTCATTAATCATATGTTTTTGCCAGAATACACTAAGGAGGGAGGTAAGGGGGAAGAAGAGAAGACGGAGGGGGTGGAAGGGGCGAGTTTGGCGAGTTCAGATAGACAACTTATAGAAGCTCAGAAGCAACCGGAGGCCAACACGCTGCCTACACGTTTGAAAGATGTTAATGCAAAGAGTAGTAATGGCCTTTTTGGAGCACATGTGTTTGCCGTAGAGGAACATCTACTTAAAGGTGTGTGTGAAAATTCAAACCCTCACTCATACTCACCACCACCCCCTCCACCCACAACCCCTCTACCAGTTCTTCCCAAATCACAGAGTGATTGTTTTGTTAGTGGAAAAGGCAGCATTAAAAACACAGGGTCCTCAACCAAAATGTCTTCATCTAATTCTGAGATGTCACTGGGCAAACAAGGTCCCACTGAAAAAGCAAAACTATATTTAGACTTCACCACCCGTTTTAATGAGGACACCATCGGTGTTAGCACTCCTAGCGATGAAGTTACCGACAGCACCAATTCAGACAATGTTTTTGATGATGATGAATTGGATAACTCCTTAAATTCTGGTTCAAGTAAGAACAATGATTTGGCTATAGCTACAAAGTATACCATCAGTGCAAATGTGGTTAGTGCAGGTAAAGGTGAGTCTCAAATTCCTATCATGTCTCCTACCAACACTGAAGCTCACTCAATAATGAAATCAGGAAGTTCTGATTATACTCGAGCCATAAACTCTATCACTGCAAAGCTTGGAGCTGCAACAAGTGCCACATCTCCTACATTTAATGCAGGTGCCAGATTGCAAAGTGAGGCTTTGTATGAAAGTGTTTTAGGTTTGAATCAAATAGTAAACAAACCCAGTGACTGCTCTATTCCAAGTCCTGAAACTAAAGATAGTTTGGCTAGTCCTAGCTTGGCGAAAGCTGATACAGCCACAATCCACAATCTCTCCAAAGCGCCTCCTTCTCCACCTCACTTCCTCTTCCAGACCTGTTCTCCAAGCTTTATGGGTCGCTTATCTTCGTCCACACTAAGAAGGAAGATTCAAAATTTGCCCCTTTATCTATCACGCTCCCAGGAATCCCTCCACCAAGCTGGGGTGGGGGATGTAGCTCACAGTCCTGCTAAGGATAACAGTAGCGAAGGGATAACCATCAAAGTTACGGACGTTGATGAGGTCACACAAACCATAGACTTCGATAGGGGCACTGCAGAATCAGTGGATTCGGATGATTCAGATACAACAGTTACAGGATCCGATGTGGAAGGGGAATCTTATTTCAACACACATTCAGAAAATAGTTTATTTCCGGTGTCAGAGATGAAAGAAGTAGGCTCTCCGCTGCCTGTTCAGGCTGAGCCAAAACCCCAACACCAAAATCAACTTCGGTGCCATAAACCTAACAAGAACACACCGGGACCAATAACAGAGCCTCCAGTCTCCATAGTGAACAGCCTCCAGAAAGACACTTCAGGCCTAAAGATGGACACTCCTGGCCCTATAAAACATTCTCCAGAATCAAAGATAAAGGTCACAAGTCAAGGTGAGGACATTCAAGGTTATAAAATGAACATAAATGATCTGTCGCGTTCCATACCCTCTCCAATAGTGGTGACCACACAGAATCTAAACGGGCCAGGTCTCCCATTTCATAGTCAGTCCCAGATAGTAGGACAGACCAGTGGCAACAGACCTTTGATGGGTCTTTGTAGAGCTCCAGAGCAGACTTCCGACTCACCAAAAACACTTTCTTCTGTCTGCAAGGTCTTTACCATCTGTGAGGATCCGTCCAAGACAAAGGACCCAGTCGAGGTGGGATCTGCACAAGCCTTGAAGACTCAGTTTGGCTGCAATTCTTTGCAAGAGTCTGTATGTGAGTCGGTTGTGGAAGGGTTGCAAGTGCCGCTGGATGCTTGTGGTTGCCCAACGTTGCCCTACACAAACTGCTTCGGCAGCGGGGACAGCTTTGACGAGGAGCTGACGGTCTACGAGTTCTCCTGCCGCACTCAGAACAGCGGCGTGACGCAGACTTCAGGAGCAGGTCTTCCTCTCATCACCTCCCCACCTGTTCCCTCCTTTCTCTCCACCTCTTCCACCTTCTCTCCGTCCTTCCCGCGCTCCATCCATTTCTCCACTTCTACCTCTGAGCTCAGCCCTCTCCTCTCACCGTTGTCTGACGCCTCAGATAATTTCCAGTCTCAAACGCACAAGGACACCATCAGTGGGCTAGGCCAGCAGCGCTACCCAGAACCCCCAACAGGATTCCAGGTACTTCGCGTGGACGTGGATCAGCTCCTTACGATTCTGGAAAGCAGCGGTGCTGACCGATCTATGGCAAACCATGGAGGTCGCCACCCTAGAGACACCTGTCCGGCACACTTTACAGAGAACAAGAGATTGCTGCAGATAGAGGCACGGCGGCTGATGTCAGGCTGCCAGAAGGTGGTGGGTATCGGACAGAGCCCAGAAGAGATGCTCCTTTCCCTGGCCAATAGTTTCCGGACCCTGGTTGAGTTGGCAGGTATATGCCTCTGGTTCTCTGGTTGTGAAAGGTGCGACCGGAGGAACGCAGAGGCGGTCGCAGGTCTGGCTGACGTGGCTCGTTCGTTCAGAGACTTCTGTCTGGCCGCAGAGCGAGCCAGCAGCAAGCGCAGCTGCCAGGATCTGAGCACCAAGCTGCTAGCCAAACAGTGCACCGCGCTCACCGCCTCGGTTTTCTGCCTCACTCAGCTGTTCCGCACCCTCACTGCACTATGAGTGGCGCACAACCTTGGAAGTCTTCTGAAATGAACTTTGAGCTACCTGTGGGGGGTAACCTCAGGTACATGAGGTCACCAGTGAGTCCACAGCTGCTGAGTGGCCCCAGACAGACAGGTTTAGGGCTGGCACTGTGAGTTCAGGTGGCCTCAGTGAGCTACATGTGGTTGCTGACTGTCCTGTGCACAAACTGTGCAAACGAACCAGACCATCTACCAGACTGTAGGTTGGTGCAAGAAGCAAAAAGCAGAACCTGCTCACATTCCAGTATTGATTAAAACTGATGTACTTGAATGTATTCTATGCTATCGATTACGTTTATTTATTCATTTATTTATTTATTTCATGAGTTACTACAGTGAGCAAACAAGGAATGTAAAGACAAGGAAGGAAACTGGAAATGTTTACAGGCATATCTTTAGATAGATGTGAAGTGGGCCTTTCACACACATACACAAGCGCACAACCTATACTACACACAGTGAATCAGTATTTCATTCCATTCATACACAGGCCTTTTGTAAGACTGACCATGACAAGATAAGAAACACTGCAGTTTACTGACCCTTATATATCTTTACATTCTCCCGGCTGTCAATGAGGACTCTGAATGTTACTGTTTACAAAACCAAAAAGTGAGAAATATTTTGATTTTTAAATCCCACAAATCAAGCTTGAAGCTGTGTTTGCCATTTTATAAATCTAGTAGCAGAATGCTGACGTATGCAATTATGAGACTTTATGAAGCAACAGTTTGGATGAGATACAGTCCTTTGCACATGCAGTGTTTCGTCATTTTGTATTTAGTATGATGAATGGAAGTGTAATACATTTGCTAGATTTCTGTTATTTATTTGTCAACACACTTTCTCCACCTCTGTTTGAAACACTGAACCGTACAGTGCATGGCGATGTGGCTGTCAACCACCAGTGTTTTCCGTACACTTGTTTCTTTTTTTCATTCTATTGGAGACTTACTTTGGCCGACACGGGCAAATAACAAACATCACAATGGCTCAAAACAGTTCCATTAGCAGAAATGCGCTGCAGTTACAAAAAAGATGCAAATTAAAAAAACATCTTCACCAACTTGACAACAAGTAAAAGAGCTGCATAAACGAAACGCTGCAAATACAAAACGAAGCAAATTAAAGTAAAAGGTGCTCAAAACGGAAGCGGGGACAGT